TTGTTATTTAACCCATAATGGGATGAAGAAGAGACAGATTCATGGCTTTCACAAGAGCATTTGGGCAAAAGTGAATGCAACAAACTATACAAGAATTTGAACACAGTTTTCCAATTCCCCTTTTCACAATGATATTTACTATACTATCTGCACCAAAAGCTAACATTCAGAATTTTAAAGTATGGAAGTTTAAAAGGAAAAAAATTAGTTTCATTTTCTATTTTTCACAAAAAGACCCATAATTATGTTCACCAAACTGCAAAAGAAAACCCTAATTTCTAACTAACAAAATAAACTTAACATATCAGTTTCTGTTAGTAATTAATTTTTTTTTATCTGATGACAACTATAGAAAATGTTTCAAAAATGCTATGCTTTATATTGCTATTTTTTTCTTATTTTAAACTTTTGACAGCATTAGCTTCTTTTTGGAGTAAAGCTGATAAAATCTGACAGCTTGGCTGATATGGAACCTAACTAAAGATTGATTGATTGATTTTTACAGCTTATCAACCCTTTGCAGGTTATTTAAAACCAGAAAATATTTTTAAATTGTAAGAATTTTTCTTTTGGGAGATAATAATGGTTTAGTGATACAAGTCTTACTAATTAATCCATAGCTGGAGGGAGAAGCAGCAGATTCATACCTTTTTCAATAGTATTTGTGCATAAGTGAATATAACAAACCCAACAGGAATTGGAACTTTGATCTCCAATTAACAACTGTGAGCCATTATCCTGTACATCCAAACTTACAGTACCTGGTAATCCAAAGTGGTCACCCATCTAGTTGCTTAACTCTGGTTATTGTTTGGGAATTGTTGTTTCAATGTGATGTGGCTGTAAGCCCCGACTAAAGAAATATACAAGACTGTTTGAAATGATTTGATTCTCTAGGGGCAAATTGCTGTTAAAATTTGATACCAAACCAACATCATGAATAGAGTTTCTCATCCATAAGAAAAAGAAAAGGTAACTTTATTTTTTTTTTTAGGCTTCCATACCTTAAAATTACATGTTAGCTTTTGGTAGAGGCTAACAAAAAAATTTGATGACAACAAAGTTTGTAAGAATCAAACTTTCAATAAGGTTGAGAAATGCTTGCTCCACAGCTAGTATTTAGCCACAGATAAATTTATGAACACCTCCACCATCTCAACTACCACATCCATCACCACCACCACCACCACCGTTACATGATTGAAGAATGCAAAGGAAAAACAGTATCCATATCAAAATAAAAGGAAAAAAGTGAGGAGTGTTTGCAAAAGGAAAATTGTTCATTGGAGAAAGCTTTCAAAAATCAAAAATTTGATATTTTTAAATTTGCAAATAGATGAGCTACTATTCAAGACAAAAATATAATTTTAATCTTTTCTTATCAGGTACATTTTATGAGGTACTTCTCAAATGTTTTCATTAAAACTGAAAAATAAAGATTGAATTCTTAAAGTTGTCTTTTGCCTGTTGTTTGTGCAAATAGATGTGCAATGCTTATCTATTGGAGTGGAAACAAATTAGTGTACCACTCACAAAGGGTAGAGGCAATGATTATCTACTGAAGTAAGAGTAAATAAGGGTATTTCTTCCAAATGGAAGGGGTAAAGGTTATCCATTGGAGTGGGAGCAAATTAGGGTACTACTAACAAAAGGTAGCAGCAATGGTAATCCACTGAAGTAAGAGCAACTTATAGTATTGCCCACAAATGGATGGGCAATGGTTATCCACTGGAGTGGGAGCAAATTAGGATATAACTCACAAAGGGTTGGAGTAATGATTACCTACTGAAGTAGGAGCAAATAAGATTACTGCTCATAAATGGAAGGGATAATAGTTATCTATTGGAGTGGGAACAAACAAGTCATTTGAATTTACACTTGTTTATATTTGTACTGACTCATTAAAGGAAATGGGTTCAATGCAGTTATTTTATGCAACTCCAGTTGTATATTTCCATATGTAACAAGGTGGTCTGAATATATACTCTTGTCACCACCTAGCACCTTGCTCCTGTTGGAAAAGAAGAAAGTAGGGATCCATGCAAGTGGCATAATGTTTGTGCATTCAATTTATATGTGATGTTTAAATTCCTTGGGCTTTTTGGTAGCTCCTCCTCCTCCTCCAGATGTACATTCATAACTCATTTTAATGGATAAAAAGGGAAAACATTGGTCCAGTAATGCCAGTTGTCCATAGTTACTGACACTAAGTCTGTAGTGGCTAATATCAACAATTACATTATGAAAGAAAGAGAAATAATACAGTACTGTACATTTAACTGAGCACACTATTCAAACTGACATTTTAAATACCTGTACACTGTACATACACACTATTTTATGCTACTGTTAAATTCACCCTTTTTCATTTTTCTATTCTTCTTCCAAATGATGTGGTTATAGAAAAGGATGAATATAAAACCACTTAGACACACTGGGATATAAAAAAGTCAGAAAATCCATGGAGCAATAAGATACACTGATGTAAACAGAGTGATGGCCTGCTAACTAGTTGTCAGCTTGTGAAGTAGCAGATTGTATCCAGTCTTGCCATAACTCTGTCCATAGCACTTGGGACTTACAAACTGAGTTGGTTGCTCCAGATTTTGTCTGTTGCTTCCAATATCTGTTAAAAGAAGGTCCATAATATCGAGGTGTGAGTGTATTGTTTCCTTTCAGTATAAGGCGATTATAGTTCTCCACACCTTTCTTTTGCCTTCACCATTTTGAAGTCAGAATACTCCTTTAACTTTAAACTTTTACCAATGAAGATGATGTTAGATATTTTCACAATAAAATTAGTATTAAACAGCTATTGTTGATAAAATTTTCAGGGTATGTTTATATGAGTGATATACAGGGAGTTTATAAAGTCTGTGTGCAATTTTGAATACTTATAATTGTATAACTATACATGACCAGATCACAAAAAATGAATTTCTCCTCCACATAAAGATGGAGAGCCTAGAAAACATCATGACTCCTCCCTAACTTTGATGGGCCAAACACCTTGCTCGAATGCCAGATGTTCACCTACCCAAACAAATCCTCTTCTCAGAACTCACATCTGGCAAGAGACCATATGGCACCCCATGTTGTTAAAGGATCAACTCAAAAACACCTTGCTGAGGACAGAAAGTGATCCAGTAAATTTGGAGGCAGAAGCTGCAGAAAGAACCAATTAAAGAGCAGTCCACAAAAAACAACATCTTTCAAAAAACACCAGAAGATAAATAGAAGAGATAAAAAGAGACTAAAGAAAAGCCAGAGCTCCCCATCCCCTGAAAACTCCTACCCTACCATGTGGTGACTGTGGACATCTCTTCAGATCAATGAGCACTCCAATACTCAGCACTGAGTTCTGCCAATGACGATACATGATAGAATTAATCTGTGAAAAGTTATATGGAAAAAGAATTTTTTAGCATTTACTGTTAAACAGATACTAAACTTTCTCCACTTACATTTGGTCTGCCAGATCATGGCTTATAATTGAGAGAACCTGTTTCTTGAAACATTTTCATCCACTTGGATATAGAATTCCTGTTTAGTTTAATGAGTAATGGTTCTATCTTTGGACAGCAGTGATAAATTTTAACCAAAAAAGAAAGTTTACTTACTTTTCTAGTGAAACTGTTGTGAGGTTGTTCTGATGATATATTGGCCTTGTTTGAATGTACTTCTTTATATATATATATATATATATATATATATATATATATATATATATATATATATATATATATATATAAAAAAGGCTGATCATCAGTTCCAACCCAGAATAAGACCAATGCTTTGGGAACCCAGCCAGACAGAACCAATAACAGGTGAGCAGCCACTGTCAAATAAACCATGACCAAATTCTAACAGAACTGTGACCATAAATGGTCATGTAATCAACAGATTAGCATTTTACAGAATCACATAAGAATCTGGCAATAATAATGCCAAACTTGTGGTAGTCTACCCCTGTGATTGTTTGCAAAAATGAAATTCCATAAAGTTAATTAGTAATACTGACTTATTCAAGAGGGGAGATGTGATGTATTGAGTAAATAATGTTGAAGTTAACAAGCTTGTGACTTTTGTGTGTATTTTTTAGGTAAAGGTACATATTCAATATATAAACAAAGAAGATAGAAAAAAGAAGAAGCATAGAAAAAAAGTAGTTTCTGCTATGAATGTTTATTTCTTTTATGCTGATTGTATCGAAACAAAGTTAAATATCTCTAGGGTATGTTCGTTTTCCCTTTTGGTTCAGGATAATTTATGGGAAGAAAGGATAAGAATGGGTAAAGATAGTCGAGCTCAAGTCAGTCTCCTACTGAGTTGGAATGGCCGAATCTTTACTTCATGAGAAGGGCTGCTAAAAACATGTTGACGGTATTGTTGGTAAGTAGAAAGAGTTCAGTCATCAGTGAACTGGGGAAATTAACATTCCCCAGTAGGAACACTATTACCATGTAGTTCACATCTTGAAGTCAATAGGAGAAAGAGGAATATTCTGTCCTTTCTAGAAGTGAGGTCATAAAATTGCACATGTGACCAGAAACCCTGTCTGGTTTCTTTATAACTTGCATCATTGGAAAATGTTTTTATTTTTTTTTTTATTATTATTCTATTTATTGGTTCAATTTCATTTTCCCCACAATTATCTCTTTATTAACCAATCAGAATTGCAATAAAGAATTGCTGCTGGTCAGTTGTCTCTCCGCTTGTAATGGCACCTGGCAGATTCAAATGTTAGTCATGTTCAATTTATTTCTTTAGATGTGTACAACAACATCATATCATAACAATTTCTGTAGTGTCCCCTTTCCTTGATGCTCCAAGCATGCACTTATTTTGCTTAATGGTTAATCTAGCCCTGGCCATTCTCACCTAACTCTAGGTAGGTCTTTCAACCTGTCAGTTCAGGAGCACTTTCATATATTAAAGTCTTGTGTTAGTATAACTAACAAGATTTTACCCATCATTGGCTTGCTAGGTCTGTCACGTAGCTTACAGCACATGGTATTCCCCAGCAGTCACCAATCTGTGTACTGACCAGGCTCAATGTTGCTTAACTTTGGTGGTGATTGAATGAGAACAGGTATTTCAAAATGATATGGCTTATACGATACAAGCCATATAGACATATATTTCATGAATACAATACCCGACAAATTTTCTTATTTTTCATTTTAATATGGACTCTTGCAGCCTTCATGGGCTTCAATGTAGACTTCTGTAACTTTCAACAGTTTATCATCAATTGATTTTGTTGATTTCTTCTGTGTTAATTTTGCTGTTACTGCAGAGATCTTTAATGTTATTTCTTATCTTTATATATATCACTTTTAATGATGGCCTTGTGGAAGGTTAAGTTAAGGAAAATTGGTCTGTATAAAAATATTCAACAAGTCCACAAAGAAGAAGGAAACAAAAATAAGAAAGCAGATAGAGTGTTAATATCAAATTTTTTTATACAAAAAATAGTTGTAGCAATTTAAAAAAATTGTTTTTCATGTTTTAGTTCAGTTCTACAAACTTTTCTAAAGTAAGCATTTTCAGGTAGCTGTAGAATTTTTCTGTGAGTCCATTGACCATAAAATTTCTGAGTTTTAGAACAAAAGCATAATGGGGGTTAATAATATTATATCATGTCAGGTAAGTCACCAGATAATGGGTGAGCTATGTGAGAAAGTTTTATTCCCAGGTTTTATTTTCCCCATTATGGGCATTATTACATCTATGATATGATAACACCTTAATACACAGAGGTAACAGAAGAGGTGAAAGAAAAAGAATGACAAACATGCTTTGTTCTCAGAGAGTTTTATATGCTAAGTCATACACATAATTTTATGCACATATTTACATTTGTCCCACACAGAGAAACTATAACACATGTATGCAATAACAAGCAGTGTGAAAAGGTAAATGAAAACAGACAGTCTTACTTGCAATAATTCCAAATGGGAATTTGAACTGGAAGAGGGTTCTTTTTTGTTTCTGGAGAAGCCATATTATGATTCCTAGTGATTATTTGAGTAGGTTGTATTTATCTTCTATGTTACTAGCGAGGACATATTCCTCTCAAAAAGGAAATGGCAGTTTTTCCTAACATGAGGACTGTGAGCCAGAGATAGTTTCTACATCTGGTGATGGAAAATGGCACTATAGGCTTTTGAGCTGACCATCTGACAGCCCGTCCAGGGGAGGCAGATTTAGTCTCAGCCCAGGCTAAAAAAAGCAAATGCTCAGTTTGACTCCTGAAAACGGACTGATGGCTCTATGAAGTGGGTTAAATTGTGCTCTATTATTACTACTATTAATCAGACTTCAAAGTCTGTTAGACAGAAATCTTCTCCAAGTTTTGATCACTTTTCTTTTTTTTTTTTCTTTAATATCACAATGTCAAAACACTAAATTTATCCAGATTATTGTGCCATGACTGCAATTTTGCTTAAGATCTCTTTGAAGGTTGAGTAGGTGAAAATTTGGCCTTGTAAAAATATTCAACTTTTCCACAAAAAATAAGAAAGTGAATAAAGGATAACTCCCAAATTTTGTTATTTCAGAAATACTTGTAGGGATCTACAAAAATTGTTTTTCTTTTTTTAGTTGAGTTTCTTCTTATGAAGACAGTTTTTTTATTGCATAATTTTTAATTTTTCTTTTATTATTAATTATTTTCGTTCCAAACTAATACATAGTATAGTAACAGGGTTTAGAGGTTATTTGGGAATTTATTTCTTGTTATCACAATACCCCAACTATGGGTCAATTAGTAAGACATGTGTCACTAAAACATTCGGCTATCAAAAAAAAAGGGAGAGAAAGTTTCAATTTTTGTTTCATTTGGTAGAAAAATACTTGTTCTGATGCATCATGGGAGTATTCTATACTTTATTTAACTATTACTTTTTCTTTCTTTATTGTTATTTACTATTCTTATCTGTATTTTAAAGTATTTTTATTGCTTAATTTTTAATTTTTCTTTTATTATTAATTATTTTGGTTCCAAACTAATACATAGTATAGTAACAGGGGTTAGAGGTTATTTAGTAATTTATTTCTTGTTATCACAATAAGCTTAATAATACATGTTTTAGGTTTAATTGTGCTTTATTATTGCTACTATTAATCAGCCTTCAAAATCTAATGTTTTGTTCAATTATTTTTTGACTTATCACAATGTCAAAACACTGAATTTATCTAGATTATTGTGCCATCTTATTTTCTGCTAACTTTTCAAAGGTTGAGCAGGTAAAAATTTGGCCTTGTAAAAATATTCAATTTTTCCACAAAAAAAAGAAGAAAGAGATAAAAAAGTAAATCCCAAATTTTCTTATTCCAGAAATACTTGTGGGGATTTACAAAAATTGTTTTTCTTTTTTTTTAGTCCAGTTTCTTCTTATGAAGACAGTTTTTATATGACGGGAAATAGACTAGACACAGGAATATTTCTTAATAACTTCATCTTGAACTGATACATCCACCTACTACTCATATTATCATGTGGACTGTTTAGACTATGGCTGACTACTAAATACATTGTCCTTTTATTTATACATAATGCATGGTTATAATATGAACACAAAAAGTACATGTATACTTAACAGAAAAATAACTGACTCAATGTTCAAGCATGTTACTTGAAGTGTATAAAATTTATAATAACTTAATAACCCTATATACTTAAAAGCTGAAACTTTGCATATTAATAATTTGATATGCATTTTAAATGCTGTTTATATTTTATCTTTCTCTACCAATTTTAAGTTAATAATTTTCAATAAAAAGTCATTTTTATTTTGTTTGAAATTGATTAATTAAAAAAATGTTTTTTTTAATCTAGTTTCTTCTTATGAAAGCAGTTTTCATATGAAGTGAAATAAATTGGAAGATTTCTTAAAGACTTTGACTTAGACTGTTGCATATGGTTGCTACTCAGACTATCACATGAATTCTTACTTGGATTCTGACTACTTGATACGTTATCTTTTTATTTATACCTCATGCATGGATGTTATAATGGACTCAAAAACTATGCAAATATTTAATAGAAAAATTCTTGATTTCATTTGAAAATGTGTTCCTTGAAGAGCATAAAATCTTTAATAACTTAATAACTGTACATGCTTAAAAGCTGAAACTTTTCATATTAATAATTTTATATGCATTTTAAATGCTGCATATGGTTTATCTTTCTCCATCAATTAAAGTTAATTAAATTTTATTTTAAGTTGGCTTCAACTCAGCAGGAATATTGTATTTTATTAATAATTTTGAAGAAAAAGATGCTTTTATTTTGTTTGCAACTGGTTAATTAATAGAATATGCTCTCATAATGTGTCTGCTTTAATTTGTCTAATTTGTTTTTTTGCTAAATCTTAATTTACAGAAATTCAAAATTTTTTTTTTAAATAATACAGGCTACAATTTTTCTGTTGGATTAATATCTGGAAAGGTTACATGTTATTCTGTTAATTCAATGTCTTTTAATCATTTTTTTAGCAAGGTGGGCAGTCATCAGCTTTACAGAATATGAAAAAGTATTGTATTGCTTCAATATACTTTTTAGCTTAAAACTTTTTGACTGTGGTCCAATACCATTTAAAAAACATTTCATCCAAGAACTTACAAAAATTCTCAACATTTATCTTGACTTATTCATCTATGAAATAACCTATAATTTTACTATACTCATCAAGTTGGTCCTGAAAAAAGGGCTTAAAAGTTTAGTTTTTAAAAGTTGACTTAGGAAAAGTCTTGTGCTCGCCTTGTGCAGGGTGTGACAAGAAGATTTATTTCAGTACAGTCTGAAACTGGAAAATATATTGGACAATTATCAATAGAAATATGATGTTTCTATGTATGGACAGATGTAAATTCAATATGTATTTGTATGTATTCAAATAAACTGTGCACATATAAAAAAAAATTGAGTATAAATGCATAATATGTGTACAAAAATGGTCAGCTCCCTGTACTGCTCCAGTAAGTACCTGACTATCCTCTACCTTTACAAGAGCCAGATCAGGCCAAATAATGGAGTACTGTTGTCATATTGGGAGGGGGGAACTGCCTAGTCCTCACTTTCTAGTTTCGACAGAGTACAAAAGCATCCTCTTGGGTGACAAATTATTTTCTCCCCTCCAACCTCTCTCTCACAGGCGGGAAGTAGGAAGTCTCTCACTGCTCAATCACTACTTCCATGGAAGTGCTCAGATAAACTATATTTCTTGGTTCTATCAGGTCTAACTTTCACAGCTGGGACCCACCATGCCACTCACATTGTAGAAAACCACCCACATTCCCTTTGGATTCCATTAGTGAGAAGAAAGTTCCACTTGAACAGCTTCTTTCTGTGAACCACTGCTCTGTGGAACTGACTCCCAAGAGGATATTTCCCTGATTCCTACAATCTTAACCTGTTTAAGTCTAGTGTTAACTGTTATCTCTTTTGTATATACTGCCTCTTACTGTAATCCTCTACCATGAGTTGCCTCAAGGATGAACTTCACTGTAAAAACTAAAAAGTATTTTGGTAGATGTATGGAATTCCCACTGAAGATCGAGTTCATTATAGTCAAAATGGTCTACTAATTTAATATTTGGAGAGGTTGGAGCCATTCTATTAATTTGCCATCTTTGAAACCTGTTGTGGCAGGGTGAGTAATACTCAGCTTTGCAGAAGGAGCATTATCTTGCATGAATATAGTCTTTGTCTTAAAGCTTCTTGGTTTTGGCATGCAACTCTCAAAAAAGGCCTAGTCCAACAACTTACAATAATTCTCTACATTTATCTTGACAGTATCATCAACTATAATTTTACCTATAATTTTACTGCTTATAATACTAACTCAAAACTTTACTTAACCTCTCTCCATTGTTTTCTAAATATGTTGATTAATAGTTTCTATGAATGATTAATCCTGTACTAGAACCATCAGGTTCACCCAGTGTAGCTCTATATTCACCACTAAAAATTATTGTTGAGCAATCAGTTTTCTTGTACTTCTTCACACAAATTACATGTTTCTTTTTTTACTGATACAAGATCCATTCAAGGTAGAGTGAGATTGTAATGAAGAGAGAAGGGGAAAGTAAGATTATTATAAGG